AACAGCAGATTAGTGGTTGCTCAGGGCCAGGGACAACAGAAAATGGGGAGGAGACTTCTTAACAGGTACAAGATTTCCTTTTAGGGTGATGACGATGTTTTAGGACCAGATGTGGTGGTTGCACAACATTGTGAATGTATGTAATGCTATTGAATTGTGCCTTTTTAACAGTAAATTTTATCTTATGTAACTTTTACTGCAATGAGAAATGAAATAAATTTTAATGGTTTAAAAATATATTTAATGAGTAGTCACTTTAGTAGCTAATTACTAGTTAGAGAGATAATGAGAAGAATATTGCAATCTACATAATTGTCATGTGTTCTGTTTGAATTTAAATAATCAAATTTTAAAGGGTTCTTTTTTTTTCAACTGGTTGTATTTAAATCACTAACAAATTTTAGGGGCGCCTGGGTGGCTCAGTTGGTTGGGTGACTGTCTTCGACTCAGGTCATGATCCTGGAGTCCTGGAATCAAGTCCCGCATCGGGTTCCCTCCTCGGCAGGGAGTCTCCTTCTCCCTCTGACCCTCCCCCCTCTCATGCTCTCTGTCTCTCATTCTCTCTCTCTCTCAAGTAAATAAAATCTTAAAAAAATAAATCACTAGCAAACTTTAATAATTTTATGATCAACCCTGCAGTTTACTTTCATGAGATGATTATCATTGTGCAAATAACATTACGAGGAATGTGAACGAGAGGATTTCTTGACTCCATGTGCTATATTTGAATTGCTATAGTTAATAAAATTTACCTACTCCACAGTAGTAGAGAGAAGGAAGTTAGAATTAGTTAGACATGAAAATCATTAAGGTCTTCAGAAATGGGTGTGCCATTGAATTCCGTATTTCATTGAATCTAAGATGCTTTTTTTTTTTTTTTGCATTTTAATATTGCAGAAGCTGAGGTGCCTCTTACAGCACCTGAAGCCCGGTCGGTGATTGTCATGGTGTAGCTGTCATTGTCTGCCCTTGTATACCAGAAAGTGCTAACTGGGCCTCAGAACACTCTTTCTTATTTTTCAGGGTTTATTTTATTTTTTTATTCAAGTACATTTAACATACAGCATTATATTAGCTTCAGGTATACAGTATAATGATATAACAGTTCTATACATTTCTGAGTGCTCATCACAATAAGTCTACCCTTAATCCCCTTTATCTGTCTCACCCATCTGCCCACGCACCTCCCCTCCAGCAACCATCAGTTTATTCTCTGTATTTAAGAGTCTGGTTTGTTTGTCTCTTTTTTTCCTTTGTTTTGTTTCTTAAATTCCACATATGAGGGAAATCAGATGGTGTTTGTCTTTCTCCGACTGGCTTGTTTCACTTAGCATAATACTCCCTAGGTCAATCCATGTTGTTGCAAATGGCAACATCTCATTCCATTTTATGGTTGAGTAAATTGCATTGTATATATATACCACATGTTCTCTATCCATTCATTTATCGAGCGCCACTTGGGCTGCTTGCATATCTTGGCTATTGTAAATAAAGTGAAAAAAAAAGTATCATTTGCAAATATCTTCTCCCATTCAGTAGGTTGTCTTGTCATTTTGTTGATGGTTTCCTTCACTGTGCTAAAGCTTTTTATTTTGGTGTAATCCCAATAGTTTATTTTTGCTTTTGTTTCTCTTGCCAGTGGAGACATATCTAGAAAAATGTTTCCATGGCTGATGTCAAATTACTGCCTATGTTTTCTTCTAGGGCTTTTGTGGTTTCAGGTCTCACATTTAGGTCTTTAATCCATTTTGAGTTTATTTTTGTGTATGGTGTAAGAAAGTTTTCAGTTTCATTCTTTTGTGTACAGCCGTCCAGTTTTCCCAGCACCATTTTTTTTTTTTTTTTTTGAAGAGACTGTCTTTTCCTCATGGTATATTCTTGCCTCCTTTGTCGAAGATTAATTGACCATATAAGTGTGGGTTTATTTCTGGGCTTTCTATTATGTTCTATTGATCTATGTATCTAGTTTTTGTGCCATACTATTTTGATTACTACAGCTTTGTGGTGTATCTTGAAATCTGGGATTTTGATACTTCCAGCTTTGTTCTTCTTTCCCAAGATTGTTTTGGCTATTTGGGATCTTTTGTAGTTCCATACAAATTTTAGGACTATTTGTTCCAGTTCTGTGGAAAATGTTGTTGGTATTTTGATAGGGATTGCATTAAATCTGTAGATTGGTTTTGGTAGTATGGACATTCTATAAGTTTTGGTTCTTCTAATCCATGAGCATGGAATATCATTCTGTTTGTGTCATGTTCAATTTCTTTCATCAGTGTTTTATAGTTTCCAGAGTAGAGGTCTTTTACTTCCTTGGTTAAGTTTATTCCTAGGTATTTTATTCTTTTTGCTGAAATTGTGATTGGGATTTTTTGTCAATTTCTCTTACTGTTATTTCATTATTAGTGTATAGAAATGCAACAGATTTCTGTACATTAATTTTGCATCTTGAGACTTTACTGAATTAATTTATCAGTTCTAGTAGTTTTTTGGTGGCATCTTTAGGGTTTTCTATGTCTAATATCATGTCATCTGCAAATAGTGAAAGTTTTATTTTTTTTCTTACCCATTTGGATGCCTTTTATTTCTTTTTCTTGTCTGATTGCTGTGGCTAGGACTTCCAGTTGTATGTTGAATAAAAGTGGTGAGAGTGGATATCTTTATCTTGTTCCTGATCTTAGAAGAAAAGCACTCAGTTTTTCCATCGAGTATGATATTAGCTGTGGGTTTTTCATATATGGTCTTTATTATGTTGAGGTATCTAATGTTGAGGTGTCTGCTCTAATCTAAGGTATCTTTAAGTATCTTTATTATGTTGAGGTATCTGCTCTAATCTAAACCTATATTGTTGAGAGTTTCTGTCATGAATGGATGTCATGAATGGAAGTTGTACTTTGTCAAATGCTTTTTTTCTGCATCTATTGCAATGATCATATGGTTTTTATGCTTTCTCTTGTTAATGTGATGTATCATGTTGGTTGATTAGCAAATACTGAACCACCCTTGCATGCCTAAACTAAATCCCACTTGATAGTACTGATGATTTTTAATGTATTTTTAATGATTATTTAATGCAGTTTGCTAATATTTTATTGAGGATTTTTGCATCTATGTTCATCGGGGATATTGGCCTGTAGTTTTCTTTTTTCATAGTATCTTTATCTGGTTTTGGTATTATAGTAATGCGCCTTGTAGAATGAATAGGGAAGCTATCCTTCCTCTTTTATTTTTTGGACTGGTTTGAGAAGAAGAGGTATTGACCCTTCTTTAAATGTTTGGTAGAATTCACCTGTAAGTTATCTGATCCAGGCCTTTTGTTTATTGTGAGTTTTTTGATTACTGATTCAATTTCACTGCTAGTAATCAGTCTGTTCAAATATTCTATTTTTTCCTGATTCAGTTTTGGGAGATTATGTGTTTCTAGAAATTTATCTGTTTCTTCTAGGTTGTCCAATTTATTGGCATATAATTTTTCAAAATATTCTCTTATAATCCTTTGTATTTCTGTGATGTCAGTTGTTATTTCTCCTCCTTTATTTCTGATTTTATTTATTTCAGTCATACCTCTCTCTCTCTCTCTCTCGATGAGTTTGGCTAAAGGTTTATCAATTTTGTTGATCTTTTCAAAGAACCATCTCCTAGTTTCGTTGATCTGTTCTATTGTCATTTTGGTCTCTATTTCATTTATTTCTGCTCTAATCTTTATGATTTCTTCCTTCTACTGTCTTTGGGCTTTATTTGTTCTTCTTTTATTTAGCTCCTTTAGATGTAAGGTCAGGTTATTTGAGATTTTTCTTGCTGCTTGAGGTAGACCTGTATTGCTATAATCTTCCCTCTTAGAACAGCTTTGTTGTGTCTCCAAGATTTTGGACTGTTGTGTTTTCATTTTCATTTGCCTCCATGCAGTTTTTTATTTCCTTTTTGATTGTTTGGTTGATCCATTCTTTGTTTAGTAGCATGTTATTTAGCCTCCATGTATTTGTGTTCTTTTCAGATTTTTTTCTTATAACTGATTTCTAGGTTCATATTGTGGTCAGAAAAGATAGTTGATATGATTTCAGTCTTTTTTAATTTATTGAGATTTGTTTTGTGGCTTAACATGTGATCCATTTTGCAGAATGTTCCATGTGCACTGGAAAAGAATGTGTATTCCACTATTTTTGGATGGAATGTTCCGAATATATCTGTTAGTTCCAACTGGTCCAATGTGGCATTCAAAGCCATTGTTTCCTTGTTGACTTTCTGCCTGGGTGATATGTCCATTGATGTAAGTAGAGTGTTAATGTCCCCTACTATTATTGTATTATTGTCAATTTCTCCCTTTATGTCTGTTAATAGTTGCTTTATGTATTTAGGTGTTCTCATATTAAGTGCATAAATATTTACAATTGTCATAGCCTCTTGTTGGATTGATTGTTCCCTTTATCATTATGTAGGGTCCTTCTTTGTCTCTCGTTACAGTTTTCATTTTAAAGTCTATTTTCTGTAATATAAGTATTGCTACTACAGCTCTCTTTCTGCTTCCATCTGCATGGTAAATGATTTCCCACCCCTTCATTTTCAATCTGGCTATGTCTTTCAGTCTGAGGTGAATCTCTTGTAGGCAACTATAGATGAGTCCTGTTTTTTTATCCATTCAGTCACCCTGTGTCTTTGAGTTGGAGCATTTTATCCATTTACATTCAAAGTAATTAGTGATAGGTATGTATGTATTTATTGCATTTAGTTACTTGTTTTATAGTTGTGTTTGCAGTTCTTCTCCATTTCCTTCTTCTCCTGCTCTCTTCCCTTGTGTTGTGATGGTTTTCTTTAGTCATATGCTTGGATTCCTTTCTCTTTAGTTTTTGCATATATATTACAGGTTTTGATTTGTGGTTAACATTAGGCTCGTATATAACATCTTATGTATATAACAATCTGTATTAACCTGATGGTCACTTAAGTTTGAACCCATTCTAAAAACACTAAATTTGGGCCAGTTACTGGAGGTGGCAGCAGTGAGTGCATCCTTGTGGCCTTGAAAAATCCTGCAAAAATGTCTCTGTACCCATCTCTTGAATACCTGAAGGTAGACAAAGTTATTCAGGCTCAAACTGCCTTTTCTGTAAACCCTGCCAAGCCAGCAATTTTGTCTGAAGCTTCTGCTCTCATCTCTCAAGATGGAAATCTCTATCCTAAATTGTATCCGGAGCTCTCCCAGTACATGGCCCTGAGTTTAAATGGAGAAGAAATCCGTGCAAATATGACCTCAGTCCCTGGAGCATCAGTTCAGGGATTGGTAGCAAGACCTTCCAGTATGAACTATATGGTGGCTCCTGTAACTGGTAACGATATTGGAATTCATAGAGCAGAAATTAAGCAAGAGATTCGTGAAGTCATTTTGTGTAAGGATCAAGTTGGAAAAATTGGGCTCAGACTCAGATCAATAGATAATGGTATATTTGTTCAGCTGGTCCAGGCAAATTCTCCAGCCTCACTGGTTGGCCTGAGATTTGGGGACCAAGTACTCCAAATCAGTGGGGAAAACTGTGCAGGCTGGAGCTCTAATAAAGCACACAAGGTCCTCAAACAGGGTTTTGGAGAGAAGATTACTATGACTGTTTGTGACAGGCCCTTTGAATGGACAATTACCATGCATAAGAATAGTACTAGACATGTTGGCTTTATCTTTAAAAATGGAAAGATAACATCCATAGTGAAAGATAGTTCTGCAGCCAGAAATGGTCTTCTCACAGAACATAACATCTGTGAAGTCAACGGGCAGAATGTCATTGGGCTGAAGGAGTCTCAAATTGCCGACATACTGTCAACATCTGAGACTGTAGTTACTATTACAATCATGCTTTTATCTTTGAACATATTATTAAATGGATGGCACCTAGCATTATGAAAAGCCTGATAGATCACACCATTCCTGAGGTTTAAAAGTCATGGAAACTTCACCGAACTTCTCCAGTTTACTTCTTGGGCAACTTAACTTTATATTATGCACATGAACCTTTTTAGGAGCCAGAGAGCATATGCTGCATGAAAATCTTTCTATCTTACATTATGGCTGTTTTGTTTGGATAATTTGTTCACACTTCAAGAGCGTTGTAGCCTTATACTGGTTTTACAGATGTGAAACTTTGGACAGATTTACTGATTTTCATAGAGTAGTTTCTATACTGGAAACCCAATGCTTTTACAAGCCATTATGATTAGAATGACTGATACAGGCTTAGCTCTGTGTTAGAACAAATCACCTTTATCTTACATATCAAGTAGTGCTGTTCATATTACTTTAGTTCTATGGTATAATTACATTTTTAGTGTGTTACCATAGTACATGTAGAATGACGACTTTTGATGGTTTTTTAGTTCTGTGTGTGTGTGTGTGTGTGTGTGTGGATGGGTGTGGGTGTGGCTGTAAAACACCAATTAAGTGCACTGGTTTCATTCCAAGTAAGCATTATACAGTATATGTAGGTTGCAAGAGATTGTGTTGCTCATCATTAAATTGTAACTACTTTTACTTAAAAATAAATAAATAAATAAATGCACTAAATTTTTACCCCTCCACACACACAATGTTTTATGTATATGATGTCATACTTCACATCCTTTTATTTTGTGAATCCTTTAACTGATTTTTTATAGATTTTAAATGGATTTTACTGCTTTTGTGCTTTAACTTCTGTAAGGGTTTTATAAGTGATAATCTACTACTTTTATTATGTTTGTATTTACCTGTGAAATTTTTTCCTTTCATAGTTTTCATACTCCTGATTATGGCCTTTTCTTTCCACTCAAAAAATTCCCTTTAACATTTCTTATAAAGTTGCTTTAGTGATTATGAATTCCTTTCTCTAGGAAACTCTTTTATCTCTCCTTCTATTCTGAATGATAACCTTGCTGGATATTCTTGGCTGCAGTTGTTTTCTTTCTTTCTTTCTTTTCCTATCAGCACTTTGAATATATCATGCCACTTTCTTCTGGCCTGCAAAGTTTCTGCTGAAAAATCAGCTGATAATCTAATGGGCTTTTCCTTGTATGTAACTGTTCTTTCTCGTGCTGCTTTTAAAATCATTCATGATCACTACTTTGTGCCATTTTAATTATTATGTGTCTTGATGTGGATATCCTTGGATTGATTTTGTTGGGGGTTCTCTGTGCTTTTTGGATATAGAGGTCTGTTTCTTTCCCCAGATTCAGGAAGTTTTCAGCTATTATTTCTTCAAATAAATATTCTGTCCCCCTTTCACTCTCTTTTCCTTCTGGGATCCCTATAAAGTGAATGTTATGCTTGATGATGTCACTGAGTTCCCTTAATCTATTTTCATTTTTTGTTATTCTTTTTGTTCTCTCCTGTTCAGCTTGATTGCTTTCCATTACTCTTTCCTCCAGGTTGCTGATCCATTCTTCTGCTTCCTCTAGCCTACTATTTTTAATTTCAGTTACTAAGTTCTTCATCTCTGATTGGTTCTTTTTTATATTTTTTATTTCTTTCTTGAAGGTCTCACTGAAATCCTCCATTCTTTTCTGAAGTCCAGTGACCATTACTTTGAATTCTTTGTGACCATCGCTTTGAACTCTTTATCAGGCTTACTGTTTATTTCCATTTCATTTAGCTCTTTTGCTATTGTTTTGTCCTATTCTTTCATTTTAGATATATTCCTCTGTCTCCTGATTTTGTCTAACTCTCTGTGTTTGTCTCTATGTATTAGGAGAATCATTTACATCTCCTAATCTTGAAAGTAGGGACCCTATGAAGAAGGGATCCTGTGATGCCTTATAGCACAATGCCCTCTGTTCACCAGAACCAGGGGCTTCCAGGGTGTCTTCTATGTGGGCTACATGTACCCTCCTGTTGTGGCTAAGCTGTGTTTGCCTTTAGTCCAGTCAGCTGCAATGGCCCACTTTGTCTGTTGTAGGCCTGGTTTGGTCCCTGGCTATTAAGGGGCCAGTCTGGGGCCACCATGGGCTTGTAGTTGGGTGGTGTCGGTAGTTAGACCAGATACCTGACCTCAGCCATTAGCCAGAGCTGCAGTTGTCCTGAACTGCAGGGTGCTGTCCCTGCCTTGTCCCCTGAGAGGCTTTTTTTGGTGGGTGGGGACTGCAGTCAGACCAGATGCCTGCTCTCAGTCTGTCTGCTGGAGCTGCTATCAAACTCGTGTGTGTGTGTGTGTGTGTGTGTGTGTGTGTGTGGTGTTATTTTCCCCTCTGCCCAGAGCAGAAGTCAATTTGGAGTGGCAAACAGTCCCTGCTGGGGCTGCTTACAGGATGAGAGGTGGCAGGAAGTGCTTATTAAACAGCTGCTGTTGTGCTGTATCTATGTGGGGTTGTTCATTACGCTATCTCTTTAAGGACGGGGAATCAGTTTCCTATTACCCTATGGCTCTCCCAGAGCCAAGCCCCTGATTTTTAAAGTAGGCAGAGTTAAGCCCTGCTGGTTGTAAAAAAAACTTATGAAGTTAAGCCCCACTGGTTTTCAAAGCCAAGTATTATAGAGACTCATCTTTTTAATGCAGGTCCTCCAGTCTGGGGCATCTGCTGTGGGCTCTGCTCCTCTCCCTTCTCCGTGCTTGTGTGGTGTCCCTCCCATTTGTAGTTAGTCTCACCGGAAGTTTGGTTCCCAACTGTGTCTCCACCCATCCTGCCCTTTTCTTGTTGTGGCCTCCTCTCATGATTAACTGTGGAGGGTCTGATGTGCCTGCTACCTCAGGATCCACCTGGTCTGCTATCTTCAGAACATTCTTGATCAAAAACATAGATATTAATGACTCAGTGTCAAAAACTGATTCCAAAGAGTTGAATTCTGAATATGAATAAGTTTTAGGAATGCTTAACCGATTCATTTCAATTCTGTTTTCCTTTTCATATTGTACAGACATGCTATAAAATACCTTTGCTAAGTAAGTCTTTAAAAGTTCTCAAAATGAATGTAAAATAAAAATTCAAGTGATAAAAAAGCACTTTGTCAGAGTTTGACATTTTTTTCTGCCTCCATAGAACATAATGTGTCATATATTCAGTGATGTCTTAGATTTGATCAAATGTGGTAATGATTTCCTATAAAAATCTAAAACATGTACATTATTTTAGAAAATTATCCATAGTTCTAAATACTAACACTAGTGCACCTTTCTTTTTTTTTTTTATAGAGAGGAAGAGATGGGGAGAGAGAATCTTAAGCAGGCTCCATGCCCAGTGCAGAGCCCAACGTGGGGCTCAATCTTACAACCCTGAGATCATGACCTGGGTAGAAATCAAGAGTTGGACACTTAACTGACTGAGCCATCCAGGCACCCCTACTGCACCTTCTTATTTACAAGTAAGCATATTTTAATTCAGTAGAATTTATCTCCTTCAATAAATGTTAACTGAAAATCTGAAAAAAAAAAGAAATATATTAGGAACAATGTGGAATATCGAAATAAATAAGATGGCCCCAGCCTGGGTGGCTCAGATGGTTGAGCATCTACTTTTGGCTCAGGTCATGATCCCTGGGTCCTGGGATCAAGCCCCACATCGGGCTCCTGGCTCAGCGGGGAGCCTGCTTCTTCCTCTCCCTCTGCCTCTCTCCCTGCTCATGCTCTCTCTCTGTATCTCTCTGTCTCAAAAGAATAGATAAAATCTTTAAAAAAATAAGATGGCCCCAGTCCCCAAAGAATTTACAATCTAGTGAATAATTTATATTACTATTCTGGTGTGTTTCATACATTTATTCCTTCAAAAATATTTACCAGGCAGTCAACCTGAGACTGTACCCTTGCCTGGCTTTCTATCCTCCCCCGTCTTCCATCTCCCTCTACCTTACCCTTCTGTCCTGGGAGCACCTCTTTAATAAATCATTTGCACACAAATCCTTGCCTCAGGGTCTGCTTCTGGAGCATCCAACCTAAGACAAATACATAAATGATATTTGAAGCCAGGTGTCTAGATAAACTATAAGATATCAAGAGACTGGATACTCATAATTACTGTCTATATTTGATGTTTTAAGAGATTTGAGTGTTACTTTGTTTTTGGAACCAAGACAATTCTGAATGTTTCCAAGTACAGTTGACCCCGAACAACATGGTTTTGAACTGCACAGACCCACTAATATGCAGATTTTTTATACAAATACAGTTTAGTAGTGTAAATGTATTTTCTTTTCTTTAAGATTTTATTTATTTATTTGAGAGAGAGAGAGCATGAGTGGGAGGGAGGCGCAAGGGGAGAGGGAGAAGCAGACTCCCCACTGAGCAGGAGCCTGATGTGGACCTTGATCCCAGCACCTGGGGCTCCTGACCTGAGCCAAAGGCAAATGCTTAACCGACTGAGCCACCCAGCTGCTCCATCTCTTCCTTCTTTTCTTTTTTTTTTTTTTTTTAAGATTTTATTTATTTATTTGAGAGAGAGAGAATGAGAGACAGAGAGCATGAGAGGGAGGAGGGTCAGAGGGAGAAGCAGACTCCCTGCCAAGCAGGGAGCCGGACGTGGGACTCGATCCCGGGACTCCAGGATCATGACCTGAGCCGAAGGCAGTCGCTTAACCGACTGAGCCACCCAGGCGCCCCTTTCCTTATTTTCTTAATAACTTTTTCTTTTCTCTATTTACTTTATTGTAAGAATACAGTATGTGATACATATAACATACGAAATATGTGTTAATTGTTTATGTTACTGGTAAGGCTTCTGGTCAACAGTAGGCTATTAGTAGTTAAGTTTTGGGGAAGTTACATGTGGATTTTTTACTACATAGGGGGTTGGTGCCAAAACCTCTGCATTGTTCCAGGGTCAACTGTATAAATCCTGCCCTTACATCGCTGAATTTATATAACAAACATTCAAGACTCAGCTGGAATAGGATTTCCTAACTAGGTCATCCCCTTGATATATAAATATTGGCTTCTGGACACAAGGATAAAAATGAATAGAGGAGGGGCACCTAGCTAGCT